TTGTTCATCTGCTGCACTGCGTTGCACTTTAATCAAGTCCAAAAGGCAATCATAAAGAAGCCGTGCCTACATTTTGCTTATTGTGCTTAAAGGATAATAATTAGAAAGCAACTCCTTTCCACCTTTTTTATAAATCAGAATAATTATCACCTTGGAATTGAGGGGAATGATTTATGAAGGTAAATAGGCCCGGAGTGGTACCAACCACTCTAGCCTGTTCTTCATTGCTCCAGCTAGAATAAAATTCTCCCACTGGGAATGTGGCTAATAACTGTCATATAAACAAACCTAAGGGCAGACTGGTCTGTCTGCTCAAAAGAGATGGTGTTCTTCCCAATACACCAAAAGTGCATAGGAGAAAAGCCCGAATGTAACAGCTGTGAATTACCTTTAAATAGGTCCAGTATTTGGAAGCATAGTTGCTTATTGCCACTGTTGTCTTAATAAATCTAAGCCAAGGTCAGAGAGAATTTCACCTTCACTGTTCATCTCCAGTGCTGATTGCCACTAGAGAGATTGGACAGTACAGGTAGTCCTTGAGTTACAACCATTGTGCATTGCAAGAACGGGGCGTGCTAATTGGAGGACGGCACGAGCAGCCTGGGAAGAAGGCCTGGCATGGCTAGCAGCTCCCTTACATAGGGCCAGATTGGGAGCACCTCATCAGCAGTGGAAGGAAGACAGCTAAGGTCAGCTGGGTGCAACAGGGCCTGCAGAGTGCAGGACAGTGGGGGCTTTGGTGTGCTGTGGCACTGGGATGGTTGGCTGTGGTGTGGGGCTTCTGGTGGCCGTCCTTGGCGGTGGCAGCAGCGCTGGGGCTGAAGTTAAGGCCCAAGGGTGGTGGCAGCCAGCTGATACTGCTGAAGGCCCCAGGCCTCTACTTCAGCCCAAGTGTCGCTGTTGCCACTGAAGAGCGTCATTGTGCAGGAGAGCCAAAAGGGCAGAGATGGGGGAGAGATTGGTGGGGGGAGTTCAAGAGGAGGCAGTCCCCTACCTTACCAAGGCTCAGGGATGACTTGGAGCAGGGTGAGTCCTCATCTAATGACTGGTGGGATTCGGTTAATGATGGCAACAGAGAGTACCAGGATTGCCGTTGCTAAGTGTTGCAGTCACATGATCCGCCTAATGACCACATTGCTTAGCGATGGAAATTCTAGTCCTAATTACTGCTGTTACCCAGGGACTACCTGTAATGCAATGTCAGAAGTTTTTAAATGGAGCCAGTTAGTTAACACTTCAGCAGCAATCTCAAGATT